AAAACTTTTACTCATACCAGTACTCATAACGTTTTTAATATGTTACATTTTAACAAGTTACCTTTAAGCATGTTACATTTTAAAAGGTTACAATTTTACATGTTACATTTTTACATGTTACATTTTAATATGTTACATTTTAACACGTTACATTTAAGCAAGTTACATTTTAAAATGTTACATTTTAACACGTTACATTTTAACATGTTACATTTTAACTTCTTATATTTCCACATGTTACATTTTTACATGTTACATTTTAACATGTTTTACGATCAAGTTATTCCCTTGCAACTGACCTGGTAGCCTCGTCTAGTATGATGATGGATGGGATTTTCAGTAGAGTGCTAAGAGCGCTTGTAGCGGCGATAGCTATCCTCTGTTTCTGGCCCCCAGACACGGTAACTCCTCTCTCCCCCAGAATGGTACTGTAGCCATCAGGGAACTGTCGGATAAAACTGTCAGCATTGGCCAGCCCAGCAGCCTCGTACACCTGTGACAAAGATTAATTAAATTAGTAATACCAAACTAGTGACAGGTAATACAAACAAAGTAACATAGAATCAAACCAGCTACCTTCTGATTACAAGGCGAGTACAGCAGTACTATAATCACTCAACCACCAAGCTGACATAAAAACCGTCGTCGTCGTCGTCGTCGTCGTCGTCGTCGTCGTCGTCGTCGTCGTCGTCGTCGTCGTCGTCGTCGTCGTCGTCGTCGTCGTCGTCGTCGTCGTCGTCGTCGTCGTCGTCGTCGTCGTCGTCGTCGTCGTCGTCGTCGTCGTCGTCGTCGTCGTCGTCGTCGTCGTCGTCGTCGTCGTCGTCGTCGTCGTCGTCGTCGTCGTCGTCGTCGTCGTCGTCGTCGTCGTCGTCGTCGTCGTCGTCGTCGTCGTCGTCGTCGTCGTCGTCGTCGTCGTCGTCGTCGTCGTCGTCGTCGTCGTCGTCGTCGTCGTCGTCGTCGTCGTCGTCGTCGTCGTCGTCGTCGTCGTCGTCGTCGTCGTCGTCGTCGTCGTCGTCGTCGTCGTCGTCGTCGTCGTCGTCGTCGTCGTCGTCGTCGTCGTCGTCGTCGTCGTCGTCGTCGTCGTCGTCGTCGTCGTCGTCGTCGTCGTCGTCGTCGTCGTCGTCGTCGTCGTCGTCGTCGTCGTCGTCGTCGTCGTCGTCGTCGTCGTCGTCGTCGTCGTCGTCGTCGTCGTCGTCGTCGTCGTCGTCGTCGTCGTCGTCGTCGTCGTCGTCGTCGTCGTCGTCGTCGTCGTCGTCGTCGTCGTCGTCGTCGTCGTCGTCGTCGTCGTCGCCGTCGTCGCCGCCGCCGCCGCCGCCGCCGCCGCCGCCGCCGCCGCCGCCGCCGCCGCCGCCGCCGCCGCCGCCGCCGCCGCCGCCGCCGCCGCCGCCGCCGCCGCCGCCGCCGCCGCCGCCGGCGTCGTCGTCGTCGTCGTCGTCGTCGTCGTCGTCGTCGTCGTCGTCGTCGTCGTCGTCGTCGTCGTCGTCGTCGTCGTCGTCGTCGTCGTCGTCGTCGTCGTCGTCACTCAACCACCAAGCTGATAAAAACTTTTACTCATACCAGTACTCATAACGTTTTTAATATGTTACATTTTAACAAGTTACCTTTAAGCATGTTACATTTTAAAAGGTTACAATTTTACATGTTACATTTTTACATGTTACATTTTAATATGTTACATTTTAACACGTTACATTTAAGCATGTTACATTTTAAAATGTTACATTTTAACACGTTACATTTTAACATGTTACATTTTAACTTCTTATATTTCCACATGTTACATTTTTACATGTTACATTTTAACATGTTTTACGATCAAGACATTCCCTTGCAACTGACCTGGTAGCCTCGTCTAGTATGAGGATGGTTGGGATTTTCAGTAGAGCGCGGGCGATAGCTATCCTCTGTTTCTGGCCCCCAGACACGGTAACTCCTCTCTCCCCCAGAATGGTACTGTAGCCATCAGGGAACTGTCGGATAAAACTGTCAGCATTGGCCAGCCCAGCAGCCTCGTACACCTGTGACAAAGATTAATTAAATTAGTAATACCAAACTAGTGACAGGTAATACAAACAAAGTAACATAGAATCAAACCAGCTACCTTCTGATTACAGCAGTACTATAATCACTCAACCACCAAGCTGACATAAAAACTTTTACTCATACCAGTACTCATAACGTTTTTAATATGTTACATTTTAACAAGTTACCTTTAAGCATGTTACATTTTAAAAGGTTACAATTTTACATGTTACATTTTTACATGTTACATTTTAATATGTTACATTTTAACACGTTACATTTAAGCAAGTTACATTTTAAAATGTTACATTTTAACACGTTACATTTTAACATGTTACATTTTAACTTCTTATATTATTTCCACATGTTACATTTTTACATGTTACATTTTAACATGTTTTACGATCAAGTTATTCCCTTGCAACTGACCTGGTAGCCTCGTCTAGTATGATGATGGATGGGATTTTCAGTAGAGTGCTAAGAGCGCTTGTAGCGGCGATAGCTATCCTCTGTTTCTGGCCCCCAGACACGGTAACTCCTCTCTCCCCCAGAATGGTACTGTAGCCATTAGGGAACTGTCGGATAAAACTGTCAGCATTGGCCAGCCCAGCAGCCTCGTACACCTGTGACAAAGATTAATTAAATTAGTAATACCAAACTAGTGACAGGTAATACAAACAAAGTAACATAGAATCAAACCAGCTACCTTCTGATTACAAGGCGAGTACAGCAGTACTATAATCACTCAACTACCAAGCTGACATAAAAACCGTCGTCGTCGTCGTCGTCGTCGTCGTCGTCGTCGTCGTCGTCGTCGTCGTCGTCGTCGTCGTCGTCGTCGTCGTCGTCGTCGTCGTCGTCGTCGTCGTCGTCGTCGTCGTCGTCGTCGTCGTCGTCGTCGTCGTCGTCGTCGTCGTCGTCGTCGTCGTCGTCGTCGTCGTCGTCGTCGTCGTCGTCGTCGTCGTCGTCGTCGTCGTCGTCGTCGTCGTCGTCGTCGTCGTCGTCGTCGTCGTCGTCGTCGTCGTCGTCGTCGTCGTCGTCGTCGTCGTCGTCGTCGTCGTCGTCGTCGTCGTCGTCGTCGTCGTCGTCGTCGTCGTCGTCGTCGTCGTCGTCGTCGTCGTCGTCGTCGTCGTCGTCGTCGTCGTCGTCGTCGTCGTCGTCGTCGTCGTCGTCGTCGTCGTCGTCGTCGTCGTCGTCGTCGTCGTCGTCGTCGTCGTCGTCGTCGTCGTCGTCGTCGTCGTCGTCGTCGTCGTCGTCGTCGTCGTCGTCGTCGTCGTCGTCGTCGTCGTCGTCGTCGTCGTCGTCGTCGTCGTCGTCGTCGTCGTCGTCGTCGTCGTCGTCGTCGTCGTCGTCGTCGTCGTCGTCGTCGTCGTCGTCGTCGTCGTCGTCGTCGTCGTCGTCGTCGTCGTCGTCGTCGTCGTCGTCGTCGTCGTCGTCGTCGTCGTCGTCGTCGTCGTCGTCGTCGTCGTCGTCGTCGTCGTCGTCGTCGTCGTCGTCGTCGTCGTCGTCGTCGTCGTCGTCGTCGTCGTCGTCGTCGTCGTCGTCGTCGTCGTCGTCGTCGTCGTCGTCGTCGTCGTCGTCGTCGTCGTCGTCGTCGTCGTCGTCGTCGTCGTCGTCGTCGTCGTCGTCGTCGTCGTCGTCGTCGTCACTCAACCACCAAGCTGATAAAAACTTTTACTCATACCAGTACTCATAACGTTTTTAATATGTTACATTTCAAGTTACCTTTAAGCATGTTACATTTTAAAAGGTTACAATTTTACATGTTACATTTTTACATGTTACATTTTAATATGTTACATTTTAACACGTTACATTTAAGCATGTTACATTTTAAAATGTTACATTTTAACACGTTACATTTTAACATGTTACATTTTAACTTCTTATATTTCCACATGTTACATTTTTACATGTTACATTTTAACATGTTTTACGATCAAGACATTCCCTTGCAACTGACCTGGTAGCCTCGTCTAGTATGAGGATGGTTGGGATTTTCAGTAGAGCGCGGGCGATAGCTATCCTCTGTTTCTGGCCCCCAGACACGGTAACTCCTCTCTCCCCCAGAATGGTACTGTAGCCATCAGGGAACTGTCGGATAAAACTGTCAGCATTGGCCAGCCCAGCAGCCTCGTACACCTGTGACAAAGATTAATTAAATTAGTAATACCAAACTAGTGACAGGTAATACAAACAAAGTAACATAGAATCAAACCAGCTACCTTCTGATTACAGCAGTACTATAATCACTCAACCACCAAGCTGACATAAAAACTTTTACTCATACCAGTACTCATAACGTTTTTAATATGTTACATTTTAACAAGTTACCTTTAAGCATGTTACATTTTAAAAGGTTACAATTTTACATGTTACATTTTTACATGTTACATTTTAATATGTTACATTTTAACACGTTACATTTAAGCAAGTTACATTTTAAAATGTTACATTTTAACACGTTACATTTTAACATGTTACATTTTAACTTCTTATATTTCCACATGTTACATTTTTACATGTTACATTTTAACATGTTTTACGATCAAGTTATTCCCTTGCAACTGACCTGGTAGCCTCGTCTAGTATGATGATGGATGGGATTTTCAGTAGAGTGCTAAGAGCGCTTGTAGCGGCGATAGCTATCCTCTGTTTCTGGCCCCCAGACACGGTAACTCCTCTCTCCCCCAGAATGGTACTGTAGCCATCAGGGAACTGTCGGATAAAACTGTCAGCATTGGCCAGCCCAGCAGCCTCGTACACCTGTGACAAAGATTAATTAAATTAGTAATACCAAACTAGTGACAGGTAATACAAACAAAGTAACATAGAATCAAACCAGCTACCTTCTGATTACAAGGCGAGTACAGCAGTACTATAATCACTCAACCACCAAGCTGACATAAAAACCGTCGTCGTCGTCGTCGTCGTCGTCGTCGTCGTCGTCGTCGTCGTCGTCGTCGTCGTCGTCGTCGTCGTCGTCGTCGTCGTCGTCGTCGTCGTCGTCGTCGTCGTCGTCGTCGTCGTCGTCGTCGTCGTCGTCGTCGTCGTCGTCGTCGTCGTCGTCGTCGTCGTCGTCGTCGTCGTCGTCGTCGTCGTCGTCGTCGTCGTCGTCGTCGTCGTCGTCGTCGTCGTCGTCGTCGTCGTCGTCGTCGTCGTCGTCGTCGTCGTCGTCGTCGTCGTCGTCGTCGTCGTCGTCGTCGTCGTCGTCGTCGTCGTCGTCGTCGTCGTCGTCGTCGTCGTCGTCGTCGTCGTCGTCGTCGTCGTCGTCGTCGTCGTCGTCGTCGTCGTCGTCGTCGTCGTCGTCGTCGTCGTCGTCGTCGTCGTCGTCGTCGTCGTCGTCGTCGTCGTCGTCGTCGTCGTCGTCGTCGTCGTCGTCGTCGTCGGCGGCGGCGGCGGCGGCGGCGGCGGCGGCGGCGGCGGCGGCGGCGGCGGCGGCGGCGGCGGCGGCGGCGGCGGCGGCGGCGGCGGCGGCGGCGACCGGCGGCGGCGCCGGCGTCGTCGTCGTCGTCGTCGTCGTCGTCGTCGTCGTCGTCGTCGTCGTCGTCGTCGTCGTCGTCGTCGTCGTCGTCGTCGTCGTCGTCGTCGTCGTCGTCGTCGTCGTCGTCGTCGTCGTCGTCACTCAACCACCAAGCTGATAAAAACTTTTACTCATACCAGTACTCATAACGTTTTTAATATGTTACATTTTAACAAGTTACCTTTAAGCATGTTACATTTTAAAAGGTTACAATTTTACATGTTACATTTTTACATGTTACATTTTAATATGTTACATTTTAACACGTTACATTTAAGCATGTTACATTTTAAAATGTTACATTTTAACACGTTACATTTTAACATGTTACATTTTAACTTCTTATATTTCCACATGTTACATTTTTACATGTTACATTTTAACATGTTTTACGATCAAGACATTCCCTTGCAACTGACCTGGTAGCCTCGTCTAGTATGAGGATGGTTGGGATTTTCAGTAGAGCGCGGGCGATAGCTATCCTCTGTTTCTGGCCCCCAGACACGGTAACTCCTCTCTCCCCCAGAATGGTACTGTAGCCATCAGGGAACTGTCGGATAAAACTGTCAGCATTGGCCAGCCCAGCAGCCTCGTACACCTGTGACAAAGATTAATTAAATTAGTAATACCAAACTAGTGACAGGTAATACAAACAAAGTAACATAGAATCAAACCAGCTACCTTCTGATTACAGCAGTACTATAATCACTCAACCACCAAGCTGACATAAAAACTTTTACTCATACCAGTACTCATAACGTTTTTAATATGTTACATTTTAACAAGTTACCTTTAAGCATGTTACATTTTAAAAGGTTACAATTTTACATGTTACATTTTTACATGTTACATTTTAATATGTTACATTTTAACACGTTACATTTAAGCAAGTTACATTTTAAAATGTTACATTTTAACACGTTACATTTTAACATGTTACATTTTAACTTCTTATATTTCCACATGTTACATTTTTACATGTTACATTTTAACATGTTTTACGATCAAGTTATTCCCTTGCAACTGACCTGGTAGCCTCGTCTAGTATGATGATGGATGGGATTTTCAGTAGAGTGCTAAGAGCGCTTGTAGCGGCGATAGCTATCCTCTGTTTCTGGCCCCCAGACACGGTAACTCCTCTCTCCCCCAGAATGGTACTGTAGCCATTAGGGAACTGTCGGATAAAACTGTCAGCATTGGCCAGCCCAGCAGCCTCGTACACCTGTGACAAAGATTAATTAAATTAGTAATACCAAACTAGTGACAGGTAATACAAACAAAGTAACATAGAATCAAACCAGCTACCTTCTGATTACAAGGCGAGTACAGCAGTACTATAATCACTCAACCACCAAGCTGACATAAAAACCGTCGTCGTCGTCGTCGTCGTCGTCGTCGTCGTCGTCGTCGTCGTCGTCGTCGTCGTCGTCGTCGTCGTCGTCGTCGTCGTCGTCGTCGTCGTCGTCGTCGTCGTCGTCGTCGTCGTCGTCGTCGTCGTCACTCAACCACCAAGCTGATAAAAACTTTTACTCATACCAGTACTCATAACGTTTTTAATATGTTACATTTTAACAAGTTACCTTTAAGCATGTTACATTTTAAAAGGTTACAATTTTACATGTTACATTTTTACATGTTACATTTTAATATGTTACATTTTAACACGTTACATTTAAGCATGTTACATTTTAAAATGTTACATTTTAACACGTTACATTTTAACATGTTACATTTTAACTTCTTATATTTCCACATGTTACATTTTTACATGTTACATTTTAACATGTTTTACGATCAAGACATTCCCTTGCAACTGACCTGGTAGCCTCGTCTAGTATGAGGATGGTTGGGATTTTCAGTAGAGCGCGGGCGATAGCTATCCTCTGTTTCTGGCCCCCAGACACGGTAACTCCTCTCTCCCCCAGAATGGTACTGTAGCCATCAGGGAACTGTCGGATAAAACTGTCAGCATTGGCCAGCCCAGCAGCCTCGTACACCTGTGACAAAGATTAATTAAATTAGTAATACCAAACTAGTGACAGGTAATACAAACAAAGTAACATAGAATCAAACCAGCTACCTTCTGATTACAGCAGTACTATAATCACTCAACCACCAAGCTGACATAAAAACTTTTACTCATACCAGTACTCATAACGTTTTTAATATGTTACATTTTAACAAGTTACCTTTAAGCATGTTACATTTTAAAAGGTTACAATTTTACATGTTACATTTTTACATGTTACATTTTAATATGTTACATTTTAACACGTTACATTTAAGCAAGTTACATTTTAAAATGTTACATTTTAACACGTTACATTTTAACATGTTACATTTTAACTTCTTATATTTCCACATGTTACATTTTTACATGTTACATTTTAACATGTTTTACGATCAAGTTATTCCCTTGCAACTGACCTGGTAGCCTCGTCTAGTATGATGATGGATGGGATTTTCAGTAGAGTGCTAAGAGCGCTTGTAGCGGCGATAGCTATCCTCTGTTTCTGGCCCCCAGACACGGTAACTCCTCTCTCCCCCAGAATGGTACTGTAGCCATCAGGGAACTGTCGGATAAAACTGTCAGCATTGGCCAGCCCAGCAGCCTCGTACACCTGTGACAAAGATTAATTAAATTAGTAATACCAAACTAGTGACAGGTAATACAAACAAAGTAACATAGAATCAAACCAGCTACCTTCTGATTACAAGGCGAGTACAGCAGTACTATAATCACTCAACCACCAAGCTGACATAAAAACCGTCGTCGTCGTCGTCGTCGTCGTCGTCGTCGTCGTCGTCGTCGTCGTCGTCGTCGTCGTCGTCGTCGTCGTCGTCGTCGTCGTCGTCGTCGTCGTCGTCGTCGTCGTCGTCGTCGTCGTCGTCGTCGTCGTCGTCGTCGTCGTCGTCGTCGTCGTCGTCGTCGTCGTCGTCGTCGTCGTCGTCGTCGTCGTCGTCGTCGTCGTCGTCGTCGTCGTCGTCGCCGCCGCCGCCGCCGCCGCCGCCGCCGCCGCCGCCGCCGCCGCCGCCGCCGCCGCCGTCGTCGTCGTCGTCGTCGTCGTCGTCGTCGTCGTCGTCACTCAACCACCAAGCTGATAAAAACTTTTACTCATACCAGTACTCATAACGTTTTTAATATGTTACATTTTAACAAGTTACCTTTAAGCATGTTACATTTTAAAAGGTTACAATTTTACATGTTACATTTTTACATGTTACATTTTAATATGTTACATTTTAACACGTTACATTTAAGCATGTTACATTTTAAAATGTTACATTTTAACACGTTACATTTTAACATGTTACATTTTAACTTCTTATATTTCCACATGTTACATTTTTACATGTTACATTTTAACATGTTTTACGATCAAGACATTCCCTTGCAACTGACCTGGTAGCCTCGTCTAGTATGAGGATGGTTGGGATTTTCAGTAGAGCGCGGGCGATAGCTATCCTCTGTTTCTGGCCCCCAGACACGGTAACTCCTCTCTCCCCCAGAATGGTACTGTAGCCATCAGGGAACTGTCGGATAAAACTGTCAGCATTGGCCAGCCCAGCAGCCTCGTACACCTGTGACAAAGATTAATTCTCACCAAAGCACTGCTGGATGGTATTCATTATGGTTTTTCTTGTAAAATTTCCGTTTTCAATTTTGAGCATCAACTCAAAAAATCGCTTAAGTATCTCTTCATGATTATTTTTCAACTTGATTGCACAGGTTTTTGTGACAAATTCGTCAATCTTTAACTTGATACATATTGAGTACATAAGAAGGGAGATTAAAATCAGGGCATCATCTTCATTTTTTAAATAGAATTTCTTCTCCTTGATTATTTCTGGGAAGAATTCTAAAATGAACAAGAACAACACAATATAATCTGTAAGTAGTAATTATTAGTATTTTAAGATAAAACATTTATTACAAAAATGTTTATCTTTTTAACAGAACTGCATTTTAATTAATATAATCTAGAACAGATTGATAAGTTACTATTTATACATTTGATTACTTTTTTTAAATGGACAACCAAAATATAATCAATATACAATTTGGGTAGACTGGGTTACAAACTGTGCCTACATTATAACTCCAGCCATCCAAATCAATTGACTGTACGTTACTCCATTCGGAAGAATAAAATTTGGATAGTAGGATTTTGGCAGAAGTTTGGAATATTTTAACCTGTATAAAATACTAGCTGGCCCGACAGACCTCGCGTCCTGTCCTAATGCTTATATCAAATGCTCGTTCATTTTCAAGATGAGCTCGTTCGCATTGCTCAATCACGTCATGTTTGAAGTTTGTTTGCTACGCTTACTCACCTTTAGCTTGGAGCTCGTTGGCTGCACTCATTTGCCTTCAGGTTTTAGCTAACTCGCCAATAACTACTTACAATAATAACAAATAACTAATTCAGCTTGGCCAAATTGATAATAGCATTGTATTAGACAAGTCTACACAAGTTACAAAAAAATATTATTCACCAACAAATTAGTTTTTCAAAAATCTATTGCAACAGTCTGACAGCAATAAATTACCAGACGCCGTAATAATATTTATCCTCAATAATTGATTTTTAATAGCTTTTTTAAGAGATTTGAGTAATGTTTGGACCACCTTACTTTTGTCAAAAAATAATATAACTAGGGCCTACCCTTTATATATTTCAAAGCCAAGTAGTCAACAGATTTAAAGGAGACTTCTTCCGTTCTACAGGATTTAAATCTGAAACAAAGTAACGTAATAAGTTTTATCCTTTTTCAAAATGGATACAATTAGAACTAACCTTCCATCGGGCGAAGGACTAAATAAGTCTTAAAATTGCATCCACATTCCAAAAGTACCATAAAATAAGTAAAAAATATTAATTATATTATTTCAAAAATGACGGCCATTTTATAAAATGGCAGCAAACTTGAAAGTGGAAACTGTGTACCATTTTATGTTTTTTTTTTTTGAATAGGGAAGGGAGCAATTTTAAGATTTATTTACCCTTTGCATTTTTGCTAAAAAACTATTTGTTTAGGAGCTACATGATGCAAAATGTACACCGGAAGTAATTTTTTCATAGGCTGTAACTCCTAATCGAGTCGTTTATAGAAAAAATTTCAAGAATAAAAGTTTTTAAATTGCATCATGGGAAAACATGATCAAATATAGAGTGTTCCATAAGAAATTTCCAAGTTGGCCGCCATATTGGAAAATGGCGGTTGAATTTCAAAAAACTAAATTCATACTTTTAACTGCCACAAAAAATAATGGTCCCCCATTTAAAATGTTCGACTAATTCTTACTGTTTCCGATATTCCAATACTAATAGTGGGCTAGTGGCCTCCTTGAGTTGATTACCCTGTATATATATATATATATATATATATATTTTTTATATATCTTATATAAAATAGTAAGTAGGCCTACTAACTTTATAGTTTTTCAATATCTGTATTTGACACTATTTATATACATATTCTATGCTACAAACAAATAAAGATTATTTGAATTTGAATATTGAGTTTTTGTAAAAATCGGAGAGGGAGCCAAGTTGAACATGAGCAAATGTTTTTGTAGCCATGAGACGGTAAATAATGCATTTAGGGATCTGCACCCAAACTGTGGCATGTTGAATATAACCTATACAAATCACTAAATGCTGCATTTACTTATTTGACAGATATTGTGTTGACAGTCAACATCTGATCTGATATTTATCGAATGAATTAAAAATATCAGCTGAAAACTATAATGTTAACTTCATAAACCTATGTGATTTAGGCTACCATCAAAAGAAAATAAGTTAAGTGAAATTTTGATTTTTTAAATGTAAAGATTTAACTTATTCAGTGGCGGCAGGGTCTACATAAGACTCTGGGACGGAGTCCTCCGATTTTCATGACAATTGTAAAAATATTAAGTTAACTAGAGGACCCATGCTGCTCCAAAGCGTTAAAATAAATATAATATCTAAGAAATAATCAAATTTATGATTTTTAATTGAGTAATAGAGTAAACCTATCTTGAGCTAACTGATTCAAACGATCAATAGCTCAAATAAAAGCCTATAATTTACTGATTATTTTGAGTCTAAGACATATAAAAATCATTAACAATACTGGAGCTATTGACTTTTAATCATAGAAAAACTTTACGAAAAATAATTTATGTTGGTTGTTCACCTTGTGTTTTCTTTAATCTCGTCCGATTTGAATAACTAATAGCTTAAATGAAAGCCGGTATTTAACTGATGAAGGTTCTTAGACCAAAATATAGAGGATTAGGCTATATAATTATAACTGGTTAAATACATTAGGAAGAATTCAAAAATGAATCAAATTATGTTTTTTTATAGTAATACACTACCTAGGTATTGCATAATATGCAATTTATTATAATTGCAAATTGAAGATATGCACACAAAGATTTTACATCAAGCATCAGCATGTATTATATGCTGATGCTTGATGTAAAATCTTTGTGTGCATGTCTTCAATTTGATACCTCAATCATGAAAATCGGTCGGGTAGAAGAGCCAAACGAACTCGGAAAAGAGAAACCAAATTTAACTCCCATAAGAAATACTCGGCTATGCGCATAGCCAAGTGGAGTTATAGATTAATATATGCCGATGCTTGATGGCCAATCTGTGTGTGCATACCTTCAATTTGAGACCTCAATCACGAAAATCGGTCAGGCAGAAGAACCAAACGAACTTGGAAAAAAGAAACCAAATTTAACTTCCATAAGAAATACATGGGGAGCAAATTTTGTTTACGTATAAGCCGTTTGGAACTATAGATAAATATATGCCAATGCTTGATGGCAAATATGTGCGTGCATACCTTCAATTTGAAAATTCAATCATGAAAATCGGTTGGGAAGCAGAACCAAACAAACTCGGAAAAGAAAAATGAAAATTTTAAAAAAATATATAATAGGCCTGTAATTAAAATACCTAAATATCTATATATACTAGCTGTAACCCGCGGGCTTTGCCCCGTTTAACTTCTTAATTTTCAAGATTATCTCGTTCGCATGGCTCAATCACGTCCTGGTTGAAGTTTGTTCGCTACGCTCACTCACCTTTAGGTTGGAGCTCGTTCGCTACGCTCACTCACCTTTAGGTAACACCGTAAAAGACATTTAAGTTATGCCAATAAATAAGAAAAAAAACCTAAATGAAGAAACATTTTTTAATGTATTACAGATACATCACAAAACATAGGTACATAAAGTGTTAATCCTAACAATTACTCAATATATTAGGAATTTTACAAGGATTCTGAAAATTGCAATAATACCCATTTAAACATGATTTTTAAAGCAGCTGCTGCCATATCATTGAAGCCAATACATGTTTTTTTACAGGAAATTAAACATTAACAGTTCCGTGTTTTTCAAGAGAAACTCTTAAATTTGAGATCGACAAATCAAACGAACACTAGATGTTTATACATAATTTTGAAGGTTATTAACTGCAGAAGTTTTTAGTAATATTTGACACTCCCTAGATAGTGTGGGCTGGTGTGTATCATTCGCTAGACTGGCCTGTTAAAATTGAAATAACTTTTGAAAACTGTTAATGTGTACCTTAGGATGAAAAAATTACTTGTTGCCATTTTTTTCTTTATTAAATACAGTGCCAATCCAAGATGGCTACCAAACGTCGCTAAAACGTGACAGTAAATTAAGATATAAGGGTTATTAGCGAATTTCCCAATTTTTACCATTTCTTTCCAAACCATTTTGTAGAGCTTAAAAAAACAAATAATTTAGTATATTTAAGCGTTGTTGTGTGCCTAATGGTTACGGAGAAAATTCCTAAAAATATAAAATTAAAATTTCTATGTTATTCTTATGGAGAATAAGTCAACTTTTGTAGTTTGCTTGTTTATGAACATATTTGGATCGGATTTGGAAAATACTTCCATTTCTTACTAAAATATTAACATTTTACAAAAAAAAAGAAAAAACTCTTTTACCCTCGCTGTTGCAGCAAACCTAAGTGTTAAACTAATTCTATTTGAATAGGAAATAAATGAGATATTTTTATGGAGGCATTTTAGAGTAATCGAATCAGGTTAGTGGCAATTCGCTTAGTCTGGAGGTTTGCTGCGGCGGGGGCATTTTTATACATTTTCTTTACAATGATAATTATATACCTATATTTTTTGTGTTTAGGCATTGTAGGAACAAAACCAGTTGTAAGATAAATTTTTAAACTATTGTGAGTATAACGGCCACTGGTATTTGTGCTAATTCGTGTGAAAATTACCAAAAATTTTACAAAACGGTGAAACGTTTTTATGGAACGACAGTTTAAAAATGAAAGCTGGCTATGGTATTTATTGATACTACAAACTAATTGTGTAATAGATTACTGTGTACAATAGTGACTCGGAAGTTAAAATATTTAATAACAAAACTTACGTCGCATACTAAACATATTATAAGATACAGATATTAAATCTCTAAATGTATAAACTAAACAGTCATTGTTTTCACCATCAAAATCTGTTGCTCGTTCTAATGGGATTTTGTTACACTCAGCACATCCACACAATTCAGTGCATAACATATTTTCCCCAAAGCAAGAACAATATGCCGACTTGCCCCCCATACACTGGCGAGTATGTTCCCAGCACTCTATCCTACTATGCCTCCGAGGCCGATGTCGGCAAACTGTATCGTTCCGGTAATGGCGTTCCCTCAGTCAATCTGAAGCCTCCAAATGACACTGTTGGCAAAATTAGTCCTGAAATAAAAATTCAGCCGCCGGTACGAAGGCTCGCAGACCCCACACACGGGCGAGCATGTTTGCCACCAACACCGTCACGAACATGCTCGGTGATTTCTAGCTGCTATAATGAACATATGCAGGAGGCTTCTTTCTTCCTTCACCTTAATTACCTTATCGCTAACAGATATTGCCTTTGTCACATTTGATGACATGAACGTCTTCAGTTTTACTTTACTCATACGATCCCAAACGCATATCTCACCTTTACCCAAGTGCTGATGGACAAACTTTTCAAAACATTGTTGTCCTATGGTACCACGGTTGATCATTTGCTTCCTTTTCGGTCATAACTTGTTCAGAAGCAAGGTATTGTACCTTGGTTTGACTTTCATCAAAAGGATTACAATGTGAGAGAGTTACATATTCGTCTGTATTGTGTTTAGCTTGCTTCCCCAAATTTCGTGGTACATAGTCCTTATGGGATCCATGTTAACATTGTACCGATTTTCAAACTCATCATATAATCGTGACATTTCTGGTGCTAGGTGCTATCATAAAGAACCTGTCAAAGACAATGTAATTCTCTGTCAATCCCACTATTCCACCAATTACTTTCAGGTTCCGGTTTTCATGCTCAATCCCATGATCAGGAGACTGTGCCGTGAAAGGCACAGGATCTATTACTAAAATAACATTATCATTTGACACATACCTTCTCCGATTAGCTTGTCAACAACCGTTAGCATGGGTTAGCGATGAGAGAGAATATGATATTTAATAGGTAAAGTCACAACAGTTGCATTAACGTTTGAACCTTAATCTTTACAGGAATGAGAGATTGCACTATTTTGTTAAGAATTATAAGGACCATCAAAAATAATAATTTCAATCAAAACTGGTTTCCATTTGAAATTCCTATTTTATTTTACTTCCTGGGGTTTGTAGGGGAAAATAACACGATAAATTTAAACCGTAATTTTTACAGGAATGGGAGTTCTACCATTTTGTTTAAAATTTAATGAATAGCTATTAAAATCGTTCAGGCTATTTAAAAAAATTAGATTTTTCTGCTATCTTATGGGTTTTGATGGTACAATGACCATTAAAAATCTAAATTTCAAAAACATTAAATAACTCCTAGAGATACCATGGATCATACTAATCAAATTTCATCTAAATCGGACCAAAGGTGTCGTATATGTAGCTATGTACACATCCGGACAAACATACTCACACACACGCACACACACAGGCATCACTTCGAAAACCACTTTCTTTGGTCCAGGGGGAACCAATAAAAGGTACAGATAGTCATAACTACTTTTTGCAATAATTGTCGGTGATAACTTGGGTAATTTTTGTCCGATTTCGATCAAATTTGGTTAAAAGTGCAAGGCAGGGCAAACTTGAATGAGTTAGCGAACCAGAATGATCGGACCATGGGAACGGGGTTTTACTAGGGGTTTTATGGAGTAAAAAATAGTTTTTCTCATTTTTGACCCTCAAAACACACAATTCTCCAATTTCTCTCTAGATATTTTAAAGAGCTTAAAAAACATATAGTTTAGATATTGTACGGTTATTGGTAACGGAGAAAGTTAAAAAAATCATAAACTTAAAATTCCAATGTTGTTCTTATAGAGAATATTGTAGTTTGATTGTTTATGGATATATTTTGATCAAACTTGACAAATTTATTTATTAGCGAATTTCCCATATAGGGAATAAGCTATTACCGTAGTACTCATGGTAAGACCTGGACCCGGGACCGATTTTTTTTTCGTTTTGAGGTCCCTAGAGGCCAAAAACACCATCCGTTCAAATTCATATATATATATATATATATATATATATATATTTATATGTGTCCGTTAGCGCGATAACTCGAGCAAAAATGATCCGATTTTGATGAAATTTGGTACAAACGTGTAAACCTAGGTTTATTCGAACGAGTTCGCGAACCAGCATGATCGGACCATGGGAACGGGGGTTTATGGGGGCTTTTATGAGGTAAAAATGGGTTTTTCCCATTTTTGACCCAAAAAACATAAAATTTTGCAATTTCTTTCTAAACTATTTTGTAGAGCTTAAAAAAACAAATAATTTAGTATAATGAAGCGTTATAATGCGCCTAATAGTTACGGAGAAAATTCCAAAAAATTGTAAATTTAAAATTTCCATGTTATTCTTATGGAGAATAAGTAAACTGTTGTAGTTTGCTTGTTTATTAACATATTTTGCCCAAATTTGGAAAATGTTTTTATTTCTTACCAACTATTACCATTTTACATAAAAAACACTTTTACCCTCCCTGTTGCAGCAAACCTAAGTATGTTTTAAACTGATTCTTTTTCAATGGGGAATAAATGTGATATTTTTAAGGAGACATTTTAGTGTAAATCCATTCAGGGAATTGGAAATTCGCTTAGTCTGCAGGTTTGCTGCGGCGGGGGTATTTTATGCTTAGCTATGAATAAATTACTATAAAAAATACACTTTATTAGTTTCCTTGTAGAAGCAAACCTAGGTACCATAGGCCTACTCATTAAATATAATGGGATTTTTATTAGGTTTCATTAAAAATTAATTCACACAAATGGAAATTCGCTTAGTCGGCAGGTTTGCTGCAGTGGGGGTATTTTATAATGAAAATGAAGGTTAGAATCTCCTCTTTAAGAAAATAATAGTTTTATGGTATTTTCTATTCAATAAATTATTATATTTTGCTACTGAAGGTAGCAATGTTAAAGAAGGTAGGTAGCGGTTTTATGAGGCAAGGTTAAGGTTATACCCCTTATTAGATTTGGAAAGTAAAAAGAGGTGATAAAAAATGGCAACAGGGCGATTATTACTAACAAACGTATTGTTAAGCATGGAAAATCAACAAATCAATTTTAACACTCCAATCGAGCCAGAGTCTGAATACTTACAAACCACCCCGCACTAAGAGACCAGTGTAGTATAGAAAAACTTTACAAAAAGTTATAACTTTTTCCTAAAAATCACAAATTCAAATTTCCATTGCCAAATCAGGGCTTATGCAGATGTTTCATCTCAATGAATTTGTACAATTAATATTGGAAATTTAACGAGGATTCTAAAAATGACACTGCATTTGGAATAAAAACAATATTTAGTGCACTTATGGCCATTTTATGTAAGCAAGTACAAATATTTTGAAAAAATCTTAAATTGTCCGTTATTCCCTACCTGCGAGGGTATGGAAACTTAAATTGGTGCCATTTTGTCACCAATAATTAGTAGTTAAACACATAAAAATTTTTAACACTAATTTAGTTCCACCCTGTAAAGACTAGATAAAATTAAAAATTTTATAAAATAATTTTAAAATAAACCTGATTTTAAAATTCCAAGATTAATTCAGACACCAAATGACACTACCATACTGTTATAAAGTTCAATTTATTCCCTACGTAGAAAAACCACAAGTTGTTTACTTTTAAGTGTGATAACATAGAGAAATAGGCTACCTATGTTTGTTTTTACCAATACTCTACCGCACCTGATTTTGGGTGATATCTGGTTTCCATGGCAGCACAGCATTGTTTGTTATTCACAAAACTAAATTAGTAAATATGTAAAACAAGAAGCAAGATATATTTTATAAACATTATAAAAGTAAGAAGAAACAAAAAGGGTGAAAAATAATGATTAAATAACAAGTGGCGCTGCGTAGTGGCTATATATGTGTCTGTTAGCACGATAACTCGAGCAAAAATGATCCGATTTTCATGAAATTAGGTGTAAACCTACGTTTATTCCAACAAGTTCACGATCCAGCATAATCGGACCATGGGAATGGGGGTTTATGGGGGATTTTATGGGGTAAAAATAGGGTTTAACCCATTTTTTACCCTAAAAACAAAACATTTTGCAATTTCTTTTTAAACCGTTTTGTAGAGCTTAAAAAAAGAAATAAGTTAATTTAGTATATTAAGGCGTTATGGTATGCCTTACGGTCACGGAGAAAATTCAAAAATAATGTAATTTAAAAAATTCCCATGTTATTCTTAAGGAGAAAATGAAAATTGTTGTAGTTTACTTGTTTATCGATATATATTGATAAAATTTGGCAAATTTATTTATTTCATCCTATACTATTGACGTAGGCCTATGGTCAAAAAACACTTTTTACCTTCCCCGTAGCAGCAAACCTAAGCACTCGTTAAATCTAATATTATTTAAATATGGAATAAATATGTCTTATTTATAGTAATATTTTAGTAAAAATGTAATCATACATGATACATGATCTCTCTGTCCATAGTCCTTTGCCTTAAGGAATTGGACAGGTCAGGGTTAATACAAAGAATAACCAACTTAATAGGCCTAATAATTTTTGTCACTGTCTAGGTAACTGTCTATGTCCTCTAAACTTATCTTAACTCTACTAGATATTTTTTTAATTCTGATTTGAATTTTGTTAAGCTCTGAATTTCAAGTAATTTTTTCGGTAGGGCCTGGTACAATTTCATTCCCATGTAATCTGGTTTGTGTTCAAATTTTGTGAGTTTATTTATCAGTATATTTATTATCAGACAAGTTGAAATTTGCTTAAGTTTAGTCTGCAGGTTTGCTGCGGCGGGGGTATTTTTTTATAGCTATAATGCCGTACACAACTTAAAAATGCTAAGTTAGGCTATCTACACTGTTTTTGCAGGCTATAGCAAATTTGTTACAAATAAAATTGAAGATGTAGCCTATGTTCAATCAAATGTAGGCCTAACCTAATGCTGACATTTTAATAAAAAAATGCTTGACTTAGAGAATAAAATGTTTGCCATAGTTGTCTGAGAGTTTGTAGCATTTAACTGCTAAAACAAATTTCATCCCAGCCTATACCCTGGTTTAAAGTACCATGCAGTCTAAGTAAAGGTTTCTTTTTTTCAGAATCAAAGTAACTTCTAACTTACATGGTTAGGATTGTTTCCACAACAAAACTTGTATTCCTGATTGATGATATGTTGGATAGTGTTTCTATTTCAAATAAATTCACCTGCAACACCAAAAGAAATTAAGAAAATTATGCCTGCCATGCTGAAGCAAGAGGAAGGCTCACTAACTATTGAAGAGTTCCTGGAACAACCTGTGATAAGTCTGTAACTTTACATCTAAATCTGTTAATAACTTCTATATCGTCTATTTTTGTTTTCTTCAATTTTGTTAATTGTTTAAAGTCTATTGTGATTGTTAACCCTGTAAGTACCGGTAGTTGAAAGGAATTTGTACAACCATCATAGCCTGATAAATTAGCGTAGCCATTTTAAACTCAGAGCCAATGTCAACAAAAGCAAGCCTAGGTAGACGATAGACCTGGCTACAATGCTTATTGCTTAGCCTCTATTTGCATGTACTAGGCCTAGGCCTAGACCTCATCCAAACTATAGCATAGAGCAAGAACTCTAGGCCTAATCTGGCTTCAGAGACCTGTATTGAAAGGAGAGTTTTACATAAAAACTGTAAGTTTAAGCAGCCCATGTTATTAGCCTATGGTGGCTACATGAACAATGAAATGTCCACTGACTTAATTTCAAGTTTAGCCTGCTAAACGTTAGGCCTAAAAACCAACATAAATTTAAATTGATCAAATCTTGTTTCTTATCAGATTAACAACGTTCCTTAATGGGCAACTTATTCTCTGGTGATATATAGAACTAAAAAATGGCCAGTTGGATCATTCCCACATAGCACCGAATATTTATTTGATATCAAATAGCTATCAAATTTTTGACATTTGAATATCAAATTGATATTCACGAACATTCGTTTGATATCAAATAAACGTTCAATTTAGGTTCAAACGTCACTCAATTTTACATCAAATAAATATTCAAATTGAATATAAAATAAATATCAAATTTGATATTCATAAATTTATTGGTAAAATATAATAAAGAGAATATGATTGAATTTACATTCACATTTTAAATATGATGGTGATAAATATTGATATAACATTTTTGACATTCGAATATTAAATTAATATTCGCGAACATTCATTTGATATCAAATAAATGGTCAATTTAGGTTCAACCTCACTTAATTTGACATTAAATAAATATTAAATTGAATATCAAATAAATGTCTCATACATTTATTGGTAAAATATGTTTAGAAGAATTAGGTTGCATTTTTTCACATTTCAAATTTCATGGCGATTAAAATAATATCAGTTCAGACTTCTTTACTGTTCTTACCTTGATTTGACTTATTATTCTGAAGTTATAGGTAGTTTGTTAAAGTTCTTGGGTGACCCAAAAATGTAAATATATATATATATTTCTTATTTGACAAAACATTAACAAAAGTATCACAAAACATATTTGTTTAAAACAAAATTGCATTCAAGGAAAATATTTTAAAGAAAAAACTTTGTTTGTATGATAAAATAAGTTTAATTAAAAATTATTTAAACACAAATATAAAAAAGATATGTACAATTTACAAAAAAAATAATTCTGGTCTTCTTCATCTCCCAAATGGCCTTCTTGAGTTTTCTATTGTTCCTGTAAAAGAGGTTCCACAGAGTTATTTTCTAAGACAGCTATAGATAAAATATAATATGTTAGACAAGGGGTCTCCAACCCTTTTTCCTCGGTGAGCACTTTTTTGTCTAAAAACGCCACCGATTTAGCGACTAACGTTAATTGTTCGCTACTCTATCGAATCACAACATCATCTACTATCGATGCGATTGTAGTTGTCGTTTGTCACAAGGTAAAGGCTTTTTGTGATACGGACGAAATGAGAGCATTCTATTATAAAATTAAAATGTCGTAACCTAACCAAATTAACCAAACTTGCTGATTGTGAAAAAATTGAATTAAGGTTTACTACGGACAAAATGAGAGCATTCTATTATAAAATTAAACTGTCATAAGCTAACCTAACTTGCTGATAATATAAAAAAATATACAAGATACAAATTGAATGAAGATTAGATTTAACAAGGTTAGGTTTGCAGCCATGGAGAAGGTAAAAAGTTTTTTTGAGCATACGTCAATAGTATAGGATAAAGTAAATAAGTTTGCCAAATTTTATCAAAATCTATCCATAAACAAATAAACTACATAGTTTCCTTTTTTAATAATCTAAAATATAGTTCTGTTCATAAAATAAAATTATAAATGCCTCTAATTCTAACGAAAGATGTGCAATTAAGAAGTAATCACATTCTAAGCTAAATCTTTGACAAAAAGTTCAATGATTTTTTAGTGAGAATAGGCTATAAAATTTGACACTTAAAATGTCAGCTAGTTTAAGATTTCAATTTTTAGTTCTACCAATTAGGATCAATTAAAAATATATATATTTAAACAATTCTGCCGCTACTTGACTACTACTAATATTCCCCTAGGCCTATTGAGAAACAATTAGCAAGTGAGAGACATTTACTATGTTCCTATTTAAATACGTTAACCTGCCAACTTGGAGACAGGGTATTGTACACAAATTTTGTTGAATGGGGAAAAGACAGTTAATTGCTCTTAATTATGGTATGAGCCGCGAGGTAAATAAATATCCCATGGCTGAGCCTGCATTCATTGACAAAGTTCTCTTTTTACACCTCAAGGAAATCACGGTCAACAATGAAGGGTGTTGCTGGGATTGCAAAAGACAATCACGGCACCGTCGAGACTGCAGTATAATATGCTCGTGAGTCTTGGCGAGATCACGGGAGATGATCACGATATAGCTGAGACCACCTGACCACATGTGTTTACGCAATCGTGGGAGAATATAATTGGTGTTTGCTATAAAAAATAATAATTTTCAAAAACGTATGCTGGCTTTCTGCTGGCTGGAATAAAACTGCACGAGGGCCGGATGTAGCCCACAGGCTGTAGGTTGGAGACCCCTTCGTTAGGCATTTTTAAGACCTATTTTTTTACTATACCTGTACTTTATAATTAAATTTGTCGATAAGGCATTGAGTTCTTGACAATAAAGAAAAAAGAGATGGATAAAACGGGAGTATTTCATTTGGTCCAAAATCGTTTGGTCCACAAGTTGTAAAACAGTTCGTTTGGTCCAAAATCGTTTGGTCCAACACTTGTAAAACAGTTCGTTTGGTCCAAAATCGTTTTATCATCCAGTTGTGGAGTATTTCATTTGGTCCAAAATCGTTTGGTCCACAAGTTGTAAAACAGTTCGTTTGGTCCAAAATCGTTTGGTCCACAAGTTGTAAAACAGTTCGTTTGGTCCAAAATCGTTTGGTCCACAAGTTGTAAAACAGTTCGTTTGGTCCAAAATCGTTTGGTCCAAAAGTACAGGCAAAACCAGAATTACAATTGTGCATTGTGGAGTAAACTTATGAAATAGACTGTACGTTTCACTGTGGACCATTCGATCGGGTCGTTTTATCCAAAACTCTAATACGAGTTCGTTTGGTCCAAAAGTATGAACTATTGCGTCCCTCACATAGAAGGCGTTCAAATAATCGCCGTCACGTCGTCAGCCCAACCGCCTGCCTTCCGAGGCCTATTTGTTGTTTTGTGTCACGTTTCTAAATAATTGATATGTTTGCATTTATATACACGTACATATACATATATTTATTTATATATAATGTGTTTGTGTAATGTTTACTTTTTATCCGTTTTTAAAATAATTTTTATTATTTAGCCTAGATGGTACATAACGACATAGCAAAATTCCTTCAGGCCATGCATCTTCATTAAGTATTCTATTAAAATAATCAGAGCTGCAACCTACCTTGAAAGATGCATAACTGTCATACTTGGTTCTCAGTTTTTCACAAATCACCTCACATCCATCTCCACATAGGCTCATAACATGCAACTTTACTGATTCAGCATCAACTGTGGGTTTAAGTCTTGATATGAATAACCATGAATGCTTAGTCGCTACTTCGAGCCCCTCACTAGGTTTCTGTTTCCCAAAAATAGGTTTATTCAACCTAGGCCTATTGCGTGGTCCACTTTGAGTCTTGCCTTTTCCATCTGTATTTCCCCGCTTATACTCTTCAGTGTTGCTATTACTATGTCTAGACCTTTTGCTTTGGTACACCTTCCATGTCTTGTTGTCACTTAAACTTGGATAATCCTCCTCATAATTTGTACATAAATCATTGGGATTGTTAGTTTGAATTGGACTCTTGCTGTAATTTACACTGCCAGGACTAAGTTCGAAACTAGGATTTTCGTGACTAGATTTGTCAGTATCCCCCACTCTTGCTACAACATTCTCATTTGTAGGTTTCTCAACCGACAATGTATGATCGGAGTTATTTTTCATTTCACGATTGCTACCATGTAGGCCTAAACCATTTGTACTCCTTTTACCATTTCCATTACTTGTCTTGTTATTCTGGTTAACTTCACTCAATTGAACTGAGTTTGTCATCTGCAACTTCTCAGCCATAGTCTGAGAATTGATAGGCCTAGGCCTAGTCTTAACCAAACTTTCAACATTGTCAATTCGACAATTAGTCAAATCATTATCTTTAGCCAGTTTAGTAACCATTGTCAATAATCTACTTACTGAATCGTGCAGTGAAATATACTCATCAATATCACCTGCCTTGTTCACCAATTTATCAACTCGAATGGAGCATTCCTCACAATACCATTTGACATGCTTGGATACCATAGTAATACCATTATACATGTCCAAATCAATTTTTATGCAATTTGGGTGAAACCATTGTCCACAAAATCCTTCACAAAACAATCCACAACCATCTCCCGGTATAACTGATTCACAAACCGCACACGGTGCACATGACTCATCATTCTCGTTGTCGACTTCGACTGTGACTGCACCACTTTCGGTCTCCAATTCTTGCATCATATTGATTTCGTTCTCCTTTTTTTTCTTCCGCTTTTCAGTTTTCATTTTTTAATTTGATTTCAATAATTTTCCAACTACGCAATGACTAAAAATACAATAATTCGTACTTTTTCAACTACCGCACATTAAAGAAAAGCTTAGTCAATCCGCCATCTTGAAAAACGCAAGTAATAGCAACACTGAAGAGTATAAGCGGGGAAATACAGATGGAAAAGGCAAGACTCAAAGTGGACCACGCAATAGGCCTAGGTTGAATAAACCTATTTTTGGGAAACAGAAACCTAGTGAGGGGCTCGAAGTAGCGACTAAGCATTCATGGTTATTCATATCAAGACTTAAACCCACAGTTGATGCTGAATCAGTAAAGTTGCATGTTATGAGCCTATGTGGAGATGGATGTGAGGTGATTTGTGAAAAACTGAGAACCAAGTATGACAGTTATGCATCTTTCAAGGTAGGTTGCAGCTCTGATTATTTTAATAGAATACTTAATGAAGATGCATGGCCTGAAGGAATTTTGCTATGTCGTTATGTACCATCTAGGCTAAATAATGGAAACCGGTCTGGTGCTAGAATTGATCATACAGAAGAGGGTACTGTTAGGCCTAGGCCTTTGCCTAGTCAAACAGACATAGGCTTGTCTAAAAAAAACTTGGTTTAGACATCCATCAAGAAATGGAGATGGAGTCTTTTGTACATAATGTGAATAGTCCATCATTAAGAATTAGTTTTTTAAATATAAGGTCAATTTTCAACAAGGTTGAGGAGATTGAAGTAGAAATAGAGGATAGCTCTCCGGATATCTTATGTTTTGCGGAGACTTGGTTAAATGATGTAAAAAATCAATCTTTTAGAATAAATGGTTACAATAAAGTAGTCAGTGTATTTAGATCGGATGGAAATGGCGGAGGGGTGTCCATATTGAAAAAAGAGAATACTAATGTAAAATCCTACTCACTAAATGAAAATATTACAAATATCATGGTTGAAGATGTATGTGAAAGTAGTGCTTGTGTGATTACTACTTCCGATAAGTTTAAGTTTATTTTGCTTGTTACATACAGACCTCCATATGATCTTAACTTCTATCAGTTTATTGAGACTTTTGAGGACATTCTAAATCAAATAAAGGATCTTAATCTTCCCATCATTATTTGCGGAGATTTCAACATCAACAACAACGAAGATACCTTGCATAGGAGATGCTTTATGGATGTTATTAGGTCCCATAAATTAGTTAATACAGTCAAGAAGAATACTAGGGTTACACAGAACACAGCTACCTTAATTGACTATATATTTGTTAGCGATGATATTCAATACATAAATTGTATAAATATGGTCACTCCAATGTCTGATCATAGCTGGTTGCACATTGATTTAGTGTGGGAGATGATCTGTAATGTTAGATATAAGATTGAGAAACCAAGAATTTTAAAAACTGGAATGGAGGAATTTCAATATTATTTGAGTCACGAGTGTTGGCCTTTAGACGATGATAGTAGAGGCACTGATAATTTATTTGATGTTTTTTATTATACTTTTACCTATTATTTTGCTGTATGTTTCCCTAAATCTTTGATTAAAATAAATAGTAATTGTGATGTAAACTGGAAAAACGAAGAGGTGAGAGGATCTCGTGCGAAACTGACTGATCTTTACTGGATGACTAGACGTTCGGATAGCACGGAGG